AGTCGTGGTACAGTGAAATAGGTTGTCACCAGTCGTGGTACAGTGAAATAGGTTGTCACTAGTCGTGGTACAGTGAAATAGGTTGTCACTAGTCGTGGTACAGTGAAATAGGTTGTCACTGTATGTTGTGGTGAAATTTTAAAACTTTTGTTCTGTTTATTTCATAAGAAAGATTATTTCTGTATTAAAATTGACAATCTTTAAGGAAATATAACTATATATTACTGTCATACTTCTGCTAATCACAAACTTTATTGTTCCCAAGGGGGGAATTTAATTGCATTTTTGTATGTCTTCAGAGTATTATCAATCAATGATGAACGCCTGCTCTTTATATTGAAAACAAAACGATTTACTTGATATGTTAATCCTCCAACTAGATCTGTAAACAGTTGCGTAAACCTTCAACTTAAGCTATTACCGCAATAAATAATCAGAATCGAAAAATTTGGCACTGTTTTTATAGACTGATAAATGTGAAACCTACCACTTTGTTTGGTCAGTGTGCCCTAAGTACCACTTTCTTATGTAGACTCTTTCATTCCCTCTCTAAACCCCCCTCCTGATTTATAGTGCTAAGAGCTTATAGCACTAAAATAGGATTTTGATACTCGTGGTGGGCATAGCACAGATAGTGCAGTGTTTAGTTTTCTCCTTGATGACAAACAAACAAACTCTCTACCCCTTCTTTACGTAACCCTTTTCATTCCCTCATTACCATTTGTTCGTGTAAACTGTACCATTCCTTTCCCACCACTTACCTATGAGAACTGTATCATTCTCTCACCATCACTTCTGTATTCAAACCATTGTATATACTTTACCAATACTACTATCAACAAACACTTCCCTAAGTGAACTCTTTCCTCCCTTTGCACCATTTCCCTATAAGTAGTTAGAGTGCTCAACTCACAACCCACGGGTTGCGAGTTCAAATCCCATCATCAAACATGCTCACCCTTTCAGTCATGGAGGTTTCATACTGTGATGGTCAATATCTGTCTTTTCATTGGTAAAGAGTAGCCTAAGAGTTGGTGGTGGATGGTGTTGATAAGCTGCCTTCCTTCTTGTCTCTTACTTCTTAATTAGGGACAGCTGGTACAGATATCCCTCAAGTAGCTTTGGGCGATATTAGACACTTAGCGGAGATAACAATAGAGTAGCTCTCTAGAAAAATGAAACAAACTTATAGATGTTTGTCTGCTACTTCCCTTCAATCGTAGCTAATTATGTGAAGATCATCCACAAACAAACTTATAGATGTTTGTCTGCTACTTCCCTTCAATCATAGCTAGTTATGTGAAGATTATCCACAAACAAACTTATAGATGTTTGTCTGCTACTTCCCTTCAATCATGGCTAGTTATATGAAGATCATCCACAAACAAACTTGTAGATGTTTGTCTGCTACTTCCCTTCAATCATAGCTAGTTATGTGAAGATTATCCACAAACAAACTTGTAGATGTTTGTCTGCTACTTCCCTTCAATCATGGCTAGTTA